GAGGTAGGCGGCTGAGGGGAGCGAAAATGTGATGATCGGGAACGATGCAAACTTCGGGGAAATTTATGCGACGACGTCGATCGAGGCGACGGGCACTGAGAGGACAATGGCGAGATCATTGAACTATCACAATCGACCATGAGTCGATCGTCCCCGTCGAACGCCAGCCGGGGGGGTCTGGTGGACGACGGTGAGGAGAAGGAGAAGTCCTCGAACATGGTGCCGTGCTCTTCGAATTGGCCGTCCGGAAGACTGATAGTAACGGGGGTTGTGTAATGCCCTGTTGACTTTGTATATGCCTAAATCATCTGATGGCAATGAGTGCTGAGTATCTTGAAATATCAGGCGGCAGCGCGTCTCGGGCAACTTATAAAGCGTAGGGACTACCAAGATTGGCCACTTCGGACTTCTCCCGTACGGGACTGCGCTGCGGGAAAAAGAAAAACCACGCTAAACAGTAAAAATTGAGAAAGGAGGAAAAGTGGAAAGAGTGGTACTGGGGGCGTTTAAGGCTGTTTAAGGCCTTAAGCCACAGAAACGAACGTCCGAACCCTGGGGCAAAATGAACGGAAATCGCGAAGGCCGTGGGGAATCGGTGGGCGGCTGTGACGCTGTCTCACCGGCGGAAGGAGAATCACAGGCTGATGGTTGGTGGGCAGAAGAAAGGCACCCTCCCGCTATCCATGGCTCACTGATCAAGGACCAGAGGAAAAAGAATGAGAAGAAGAGACACACAAGAGATGATAAGGGAGTCTCCCTTGCCCCTTTTTCTCCATATTTATTTGTGAACACTTCGTATCTAAATTGGAATCGTCACAGGAAAAGCCAGAGAGTTCTCCGTGCACTTTATGCCTCAGGGGCCCAGACTCGCTGACTCAGCCAGCGTCCTATTCGCGCCTCTCCTTCTCGTCTCAAATCATTATCCCGTTCGTTCGTAGTATCTCCCTAGAATACTCCGTACTCCCTACAGGCTTTGACGGAGGATGAATGAGTCTCTGACAGACCTGAGGATGCTCCGCCTTTCTGTTTTGAGTACTCGTCGTTTCGTGTTAGGTTCGATACTTCGGAACTGATACCAACACACAAGTTACATTATGGCGATAGACGTCGCGCACTATTCAATATATTGAAGTGATTCCTCATCTGTGATGAGTCCGTTTTGAGGGGCTACTTAAAGCTGGAAGGTTGCGATCTGCAGACATATCTGCAAGGCTCAAGGAGACCTGCATATGCCATATGTGATCCTCAACGGCTTCACTCAACCAGTAGGCAGGATCAACTGCATGAACGTCCAATTCATCGAAACAGACTACCCATGTGAACTTGCAGGCTGAAGATCCATTGATGTGATCTCTATGATGAAGCCGCCAGGGCCAACTACGACATTGGCTTTGCGTACACGAGATGGAGGAATTGCGCCCCCTCATATTATTGATGAGTGATAACACCTTTCTCCAGAGAAAGGACCCATTTTGTCAACGGTCGATCACCATTAAACTGGATCCGGTCTGATATCACAGCGGAAACAGGTAAGCGGCTGTAGAACCTGTTTCACGAATTTCACCGCAGAAAAATCATTTCTTTTTTCTCGAGATGGCTACTATCAGTCCCCCATGCGACTATTCTTGTTCTGGGCAAGTCGAACTATCGAATGGTCCAGAATTGGCATGAAGAACTTCATGATTTTCGTTGCTGGGCCTCACTCTAATTGCCGTATGTAACCGAGCCATTGCTTTCACGGTCAGAGAAGGTCTCACTCTCGTAGACAAACGGTACAACTATGCAAACAGGCGTCATCGTTGTAGTCTTTTTGTCATAGAATGATTGTGCCGTGTCTCCTATTGCAGTGGCCAAACATGTTGTATAGTCTTCGGAAAAAGAAGGTCGTCCAACTTTTATCAATATAAACAAAGCACCCAACTCTTGAAAGAAGCAACTGCATTGAATCGATCGTAAGCGGAATTACATCACGCCTCTGCTGCTATGCACCAGCACGAAGCTGAATCGCCGACGTCCACATTCGGACTCTGCTCCCCCGACAGCAACCGACGGGCAGCTTGCATGGGGACTATGTGCAAGATAGTCATCGGCCACAATTGGAAGCCAACGGTACCAAATTGACATTGCTTATCCTGCCAGAAATGATCATAATAATTGTAGGATATACAATACTGTAGCGGTTGTCGGTTAGAGAAAGCCTGAAGCCCTCGAAAGCACCGCAACGGGAGTCGGCCGCCACTCCGGCCCCATTTATTATCCAAGTTCCCCGCATCGGTGCAACCACTGATAACCTCAACTTCCCAACAATTGTTGCATTTGTCACGTTTGTTAGGCATGGCTGCGCTTCTGAAACAACCTCTTAAGCTAGCCTTAGTGCAGCTGGCTTCAGGTACGCTACGATGTTCCAGGCGTCCGTGATCTCTTCAGCCCATACTAACGTTGTACTCGGTCACAGGTGCGGACAAAGCCGTTAATCTCTCTCATGCAAGGACCAAGGTCCTTGAGGCTGCAAAAGCAGGCGCGAAGCTCATCGTTCTCCCTGAATGCTTCAACTCGCCGTATGGAACACAATACTTCCCTTCGTATGCCGAGACACTACTCCCGTCGCCTCCCACGAAAGAACAATCCCCCTCATACCATGCTCTGTCGGCCATCGCTGCGGAAGCCCAAGCATACCTGGTAGGAGGCAGCATACCCGAGCTGGACACTTCGACAAAGAAGTATTACAACACTTCCCTTGTGTTCTCGCCGACAGGTTCTCTCATTGGCACACACCGCAAGACGCACCTATTCGATATTGACATCCCCGGGAAGATTAAGTTCAAGGAAAGCGAAGTACTCTCGCCTGGAAACCAGTTGACTCTCGTCGATCTCCCAGAATATGGCAAGATTGGTCTCGCCATCTGCTACGATATCCGTTTCCCGGAGTCGGCAATGATCGCAGCGCGCAAGGGAGCTTTCGCGCTCATTTACCCCGGTGCCTTCAATATGACTACTGGCCCTCTTCACTGGGCACTCCTTGGTCGCGCTCGTGCAGTTGACAACCAGATTTATGTTGGCTTGTGCAGCCCGGCTCGTGATACGAACGCAACATACCACGCTTGGGGTCACAGTCTGATCGTCAATCCTAATGCGGAGATCCTGGCAGAAGCAGCCGAGACGGAGACGATTATCTACGCAGACCTGGATAACGAGTCTATTCAGAACACTCGAAAGGGCATCCCCGTCTATACCCAGCGGCGTTTCGACCTATACCCTGATGTGAGCGCCGAGAAATGACACGCTTAGAGGATACAATTATTGTTGCATTCTGACAGGGGAAAACAACCTGGGCTAGTGATAAATGAGTTATGACAAAGAGACGTCAATTCCAACAAATACTGCCTATTCCGAGTACAACAACTATAAACAATGATTAGCATGTAGATGTAGCCTCAAGGCAGTTTCGATTAGCGGCGGAAGGTGTAGCATCACGTGACAGAAACCACCCAATCAGAGTGTTGCCACACGATAAGCGAGCCACACTGAATTTCGACCACCAAAAAAAGGACATCCGAAAATCCCAATTCCTTTGACAGTCGACCACATCGCCAACGACAGCCGACGTTCTCTGTCAGCCCATTCAGTCAGTATCAATCCCACATGTCTTTGTGTCGCGCAGTTCTTTTCCCCCAGGACTGAAGAGTACTGACAATTTCTTTTCTTCCTGTTTCAGAAATGTCCAGCACCGTCCAGACCACCGGCAAGAAGACTCGTTCGGCCATCGCCGACGTTGTCACCCGCGAGTACACCATCAACATGCACAAGAGAGTACGTTGAAGACGCTGGACCTTTGCTTTTGATTTCCTTTGCACACAATTTCGTGGTCAATGAATCGACCGACTTTTGCGACCTTGCGGAACCAAACACCCTGAGGAATGGACGGAGAACAACATATGGGAACATCTCGAAACAACCTTGTGTGAGAGGAGGAATCCGCTGCAGAAGGGCTTGTGCGAGATATTTTCGTCTTGGGGATCAGAACCGAAACCCAAGGAAAGAGGAGGAACATACACAATGCACGACCACAAAAAAAGAAGAAATAGTTTTATGAAGTCCACCTCTATGGCCGCAAATAGCATCTTCGCAGATTCACTCTACCAGATGGCATTTGGGCGGAAGACTAATTTCTCCTTTTTTTGCTCGATCTATAGATGCACGGTGTTACTTTCAAGAAGCGCGCTCCTCGTGCCATCAAGGAGATTCGCGCCTTCGCTGAGCGGGCTATGGTAAGTTTCTTTCCCATGAAGTGATGGGATGGGGTCCAGCTCAGCTAACCACTCGCGTTTTCCGCCAATCAGGGCACCACGGATGTCCGCCTCGACCCCCAGCTGAACAAGAAGGTCTGGGAAGCCGGTGTCAAGGGCGTTCCTTTCCGCCTCCGTGTCCGCATCTCCCGCAAGCGTAACGACGAGGAGGGCGCCAAGGAGAGACTCTACTCCTACGTCCAGGCCGTCAACGTCAAGGACGCCAAGGGTCTGCACACCGCTGTTGTTGACGAATAAACGGATCGCTTCCTGCTCGGGTCTTGTGTTACGGTTGACTTGGAACAATAAAAAAATTTCCATGAAATGAAAATTTCTTTTTTCCGCTGTAGCTTCGATCATCGGTGCTTCTCTTTCAGGCTCGGGAGTACGGAGTGAAATATCGTCATATTGGACCTATCGGGTATGATTGTATCGATTGATACGAGACTACAGAGGAACTATCGTCGACGTGACTATTAAGAGATCCTTTAATTCAATTCCTTATACCCTCTTGCTTTGAGAGAATTGTATCATGAGTAGTTCGCTCCTATTAGAATGATCTTTGCCTTATCGGGTAAGGGGGGGTCGTTGTATCATCACCCCTTTGATATTCGTGTGATTTGGTAGTGCCAGCAAAACAGCAGAATCTCTGTAGAACCCTAAAGCTCAATGATCATCCAGTTCTTTCTGAATTCAAGCCAGCATATTCCTGCGCTAAGTTGCAGGCACCAGATCCATGTGCACCATTGCATCACGAGCCTCCTTTCGAGGGTCATTGATGCTCAAGGGGAGAACGGTGTTGGCATCCAGATCTTGGGGGAGAACTGGGCCAAAGAGATCTCCGGCACTGATCCCAAGTGAGCACTCGGACTGAGTCGCTGGAAAGATGGTCTATTATTCTGGTGAGCCCTGGTCAGCGATAGGAAGGGCAGACAACCCACTGCTTCTTGCTGCAGGACTGGGTTGCCATTTGCGTCTCGAACGTAGAGTTCAGCTTTGCCTTCCACTTGGTTGGTGGTGCCTTTGCGAGCATACATGATTATCACAACGACCTCCACACATGGACGGGCACCGATAAGCCATAGTCTCATATCGTCCATGAGCCGCTCTTTGGGCTCAGAATCTCCGCATTGGATTACGAATGAGGGGTGGTATCGGTTGTCTGGCGTCATAGCGAAAGTGGGTATCTTCCTCGAACCCGAGTACGGGGCCTCGAATCGCCCGTAGGCTACCCAGAGTTAGCAATATCATATACCATACATCCATGGCCGAAGACTGACTAGAGATTGTCGACACCCGAAGAAGACAGTGACTATCCCTGACAAGATTCTGCCTGTGCCAGTCGCGTTCCTGGATAAGCATCCAGTTAAGGTGACATCCAAGGAGACGGGTAGACATGGGTTTGATTAGCAAGGTCTCTGTAACAGAGTTGTAGCTGATGCTGAGCCCGGGCACGATCAGCAAGGAATATAGAGATGATTAGCATCGTTTACTTACGGGAAGTATAAGCGTCTAACCTCGCCGTACTCGTCTAGCGAGTCGACAATCAATGGGCCCCATTCGGGGGAAACCGAAGTGTAGGCAATTTCAGTTGAGGATGGTGCTTGAAGAACCTCTCTTCGGACCTGTGTACAAAGCTCTTGCCAAGTTTGGAATCCGCGTGCTGAATGGTGAATGAACTCAGTAAAGGGAGTGCTATGCTGGGTCTGTTCTTCCATTTTGGCTTTGCTTCGAAGACCACGTCTTTTGGGAATCTGGAGTGAGTTATTGTTATACTGAGGGCTGGCCAGACCTCAGAATAGTGATAGATCTGTCAGTCTTATTGTATGAGGTCCAGAGATGTTTGATGACCGGTAAGATCTTTGAAGGAGGGGAGAAGCAGGAGGGTGGAAATGGAGAGGAAGTTAACAAGAGTGACGCATGTAGGATCCTGTGAAAGAAACCAAGGTAAGGCTTCTTTGATCACTCATTTAGGGATACCGAAGCTATCTACCCAAGGACACAGTAGGTATTGGGTAGATTGACTGATTAAGTCAATCCTTTGGAATGAAATTATTCAACCATGGCTGCCTCTGAGATCCCCTTATGGCATCTTTGGCTCAGAGCAGTGATGGAAGAGACACTGTTGTCCTCGTAGGGAGAATGATACTGATTCCTGATTGTTGATATATGCGGTTGAGGTGACGGCATGTATACGAGACTCTATCCTCGAGATGACTTGACTGAGACTCAAGACTCTCCATCAATTATAAATTTACTCACACCTCAATAGTTTGTCAGTATGAAGAGTTTATCCATTGATCTCAGTCAGAATATCCCCCCGATTGGGGATTCGCCTTCTACTTCTCTTCCAGGGGCTGGTGTTGAAGAGAGCGCGGCGAGACCCCATCCAGTTGAAGAATCAGGACTCAGCGATAGAGGCGGGAAAAGCCTCTGCAGAAATGGTGAGGCGGTTGAGGATGAAACACCAATAAACGTGCACCATGCCAGAGAAACAACGCCAGGGAATCCAATGAATAAGAATAAGGTAAGAATGAAATTTAGATGGAGGATGCATTGCAATGGTTCGAACCCACACGCTATGCTAAGGCGCCTGTCTTGTTCCATAGATAATAACATGATGCTGATGACGTAGTGTGATTGAAATGCGAAATAGTTACACACAAGGCCATGATCTGAATGTAGGGGAAATGGACGGCAGGATGGCAGGATGGCAGGAAGGATATGGAATGCAAAAATGGTTCAACAAAATGACGCCAACTTCGAGTGCTCATGGTTCAAAAAGACATGAGGAAGAATGGACAAAGTACGTTGCCAGGTAGAAAAGACAAAATTGACATGACAATCGCAGATAAAGTAGTTTAATCCTATCAAAGAAATCGCATGGCAGCCATGATTCCTTGGCGGAAGGAAAAATACAATCATCAGCTTTCACGGCCCGTTGCATAAACCATGGGAATCACGGTTATGGCCGGACGGAATCGATATAAACTGTCGTAAGAAAAAGCCGCGAAAGCGTTCGAGATAGACCAAATGTACAACGCCGATTCGTGATATGTAAACACAGCTTGTGCTTACGCCTTGGACTCTTCAATTGCGGAGTGCAAACGCTCAGCTTCTTCCTTCCCTTTCACTCTAACAGCCCATTGTTCCGGGGCGCCTTCAGCCTGGGGAACCAGGAACTGCACACTGTTTGCGTTAATGGTGTACTTAATATCCTTCAACAAGGCTGCGTTCAGGACAACCTTGCCACTTGGGTCGGCTCTCAGGATGATGCGAGAGCGAGAAGTGTTGCGATTTTTCAAAACACGGAGATAACCAACACCCTGGCTTTCCCAGCCTGCGCCAGACTTGATCTTCAATGCACGCGCCCGCGTCTCTATCACAATGTCTTCGTCCTCTTCGCCGGCTCTGCTGCGAGCAAGATCAACCTGGGGTAGAGATTCGGAAGCCTCTCCATCTACAGACTCCTCCGCGCCAGTATCGGAGGTCATTCCGGGGGTCGACGCGCGACTGCCAGTAGCGGAAGTGACAGTAGAAGGAGCCAGGAAGGAAGAGCCTTGCTGTGACGGGCCACCAAAGGAGAACCCTAGCGCCGACTGTCCACTGCCAGACGCCTTCGCCCCAGCGGCTGGCGCGCCGAAGAGAGTAGAGAATGGCTTCGAGGAGTCGGCTGATTGAGCGGTGGATCCAGAATCTGGCTTCGACGTGGTCGAAGGTGCCGTAGCAGTCGAGTCGGCGAATTTGATGGGAGAATCTGGCTTCCAGGTCTTGTCACCTGCTGGTTTCGACGAGCTCTGACCGAAGATGGACGGCGTACTCGTTCCAGTACTTGCCGGTGCGGAAGTAAAAAGACCACCGCTCGTGTTAACCGAAGACTTGAAGATACTAGACGCTGGCTTACTTTCGGCAGAATCACCTTGGCCGGGAGCAGGGGTACCGGGTGAGCCAAATGGATTCGGGGTGGACGTTCCGGGACTCGTCATGGAAGAGGAGAACTTGGACGAAGGGCTAAAGAGGGAAGAGAAGGGATTCTTTGGTTCCTCGTCGGTTTGCCGCTTAGGCTTTCCGTCTTGACCGTACTGAACCCGATCAAATAAACTTTTACCACCGCTCGAGGCTTGTTTTGACTTGCTCAGAGCTCTAGTAAAATCGCCGTCGTCACTGCTGTCATTAGCAGAGAACTCGGCTCCGTTGACCGAAACGACTTTGGAGTCTGCTTCGCTGGTTTCAGCATCCCGACTACCGTCGCGGTCGCTGGCCGGAACCAGAGAGGACTCTTTGGACTCTTCTTCATCAGCATCTTCCCCGGCAGCTGACGCCTCTTCAGTATCGTCAGCATCATTATCCTCTTCTACCTCTGATGGGGTCGCAGAGAGATGGCCAAATATATTGTTCGCTTTGGCCGGAGTGTCTCGCTTTGCTTCAAAGACGGATGAACTGGCAGTCGAAGTAGATGTCTCTGCTGGTTTCTTGGGTTCCGTAGTATCGCTGCTCTCATCCTCGAAGACGAATCCCTTGCCTGGAACAAATTTGGCGCGCTTTTTAGACTGAGCCTCCAGCTCCTCGCGTTTCTTGCGCTGCTGTTCGGCGTCTTTCCGTTCCCATTCAGCTTCGTCTTCTTCCTCGGAGTCGAAATCCTCTGCTTTGCGCTTCTCCTTTTCCTTCTCGGCATTCTTATCGGCAATGGATTTGAACTGAGCGAAAAAGTTCGTCGCAGTGCCCGTACCGAATTTGGGAACGGCTGATGCCTCGGTTCTCCCTTCACCTGTGGGCTTCGGGACGAACAGGTTCTGGGCAGGCGTGCTGATGCTTGTTGTCGATGACGTGAGCCCAAGATTCGAGGTAGGTTGAGAGAAGATGGAGCTGGATGTTGCATTTTCCTTGGTAGTAGAGGATGTAGAAAATATGGGCTTCGCCGGAGACGCAGATGGGGTGGTAGAGAACAGAGCAGGCTTATTGGTTTCTGGGGTAGCTGGCTTGGGAGACACTGCACTTGTGGCCTCTGAACCATCAGCTTTCGATTTCGAGAAAGACCGAGCGAATATGCTCGCTGTGGCAGAGTCACTATCGGAACGATTCTCAGCCCGAGAAGCACCAGTTTCAGCCTCTTCCTCAGCCATTTTCCCATTTGTTGTTGGGGTGGTCTGGCTTGTATCAAAAAGCTTAGACGGCGTTGTCGTAATGGAGCTTGGTCCGATGTTCATCTTCTGGGAAGGTGACGAGATGCTGGTGCTGGGGGTCGCTGGTACACCAGTAGTGCCGAAGGGCTTGACTTTCTTCGCTGATTGTATCTCAAGATCAGCGCTTTCATCGTCGGCAGCCTTCCGCTTATATGAGCGCGGTGCGGTTGGCGCACCAATCACTTCACGAACGCGCATGTAAAAGAGCACGGTAGCGTCGAAGTCGTCCGTTGAAGGATTCAGTCGAGCGATCTCGCGTTGAAAGCATTCATTCAACATGCGCAGACTGTACACAAGATCGAAATCTTTCTTCTGTTGTTCGCTCAGTCCAGTAGGCAATTTGCTCGGCCGCAAGCTCTCGGCGAATTGGACTGTGGGGGGCTTGGCTGAAGGTGTTGGCTGATCGGGTGCTGCACCGTTGGCTTTGAAAAAGCTCTGAGACGCAGTAGTTGCGGACGCAGGTGACTGGATTTTACTCTCCGCAGCGGTGGCCGAGAGAGATGAAGACTGCGGCGCGAAGAGGCTGGGTGATGGCGGAGCTGCAGACGAAACAGCCGGAGTAGACGCGACCGGTTTCGCTGGCTCTCCCACTTTCGCTCCTTCATTATGTGTGCTAGGCTTGGGAGAAAAGAGAGAGCCGAACGGGGCAGCAGCAGGTGGTTTTTGTTCCGGCGTGGGTTGGGTGGTAGTGGATGGTTTAGGAGCGAAAAGGCTGCTGAAAGGATTTGCCTCGGAAGTCTTCGGCTTATCAGTCTCTGCAGAAGCAGGCTTGGGCGCAAACAGGCTGCCCGTAGCCGGTGCCTGGAACAGGCCAGTTGATGAAGTAGTTGAAGGCGCAGCAGCAGCGCTTTCGCTCTTGGAGAAGAGATTGCCACCGGTTGTGGAGGAGGAGAGTTGGAAGCCGGTCTTGGGTGGGGTTGCCTCGCCTATCTTCTCTTCATGTCCTCTCTCTTCAGCAGGCTTCGGCGTAGCTGATGGAGAGGGTGCGCCTGAGAAAAGGTTTGAAGACTGGAAAGGATTCTGGAACGGCGTTGCAGGCTTGGCCGGCGATGCGGTACCAAAAAGCGTCGGCGCTGTCGTTGTCGTGGGCGTAGCAGCGGTCAATGCGGGCGTAGGTGCCGTAGCGCCTGTTGTGGGTTGCTGGGAAGTAGCACCGAAGAGAGGCGTCGAGGTTGGAGTAGCCTGCTCTGTCGGCTTTGTTCCAAAGAGTGGTTTAGACGGGGTTTGTTGAGCCGCCGGTGTAGCACCACCAAAAACGGAACCTCCTGCTGGGCTGCCGAAGCCTGTGGATGCGCCAAATGCAGGCTGAGAAGCACTTCCCCCGAAGATGGCTGGCTTCGATACGGCAGCATTGGCCTTTGGGTCAGGAGATGTCTGCATCGAATCGCTACCGAACGCTGTGGATTGGCCAAAGGGAGAAGGCTTGTCTGATGTAGACTGGCCGAACAGACTTGTTGATGGAGCAGTGCTAGTGGCGCTATTCTGGCCGAAAATGCTGCCAGTGGAGGGTGCCGTCGTCACAGGCTGGCTTGAAG